GGAGTGTGTACGACCGCTAGCCGGTGGCGAAACCAGTTGGTGCAGATGTATCAATCCAATGTTTTGATTGTGATAACACCCTGCACTATATAAGAGAACCATGTAGTGCACTCCAAACCATTGCACGAGCTGCTCGCGTGGCAGGTGGACGTGAGCACGTGCAGCGGCCGGGATGGGGAGTGGGTGGGGCAAGTGGGAGTGGGGAGGGTATAATGTGGGTGGGTGGGATTAGTGAGGGAGAGTACGGGAGGGGAAGCATAGAGTGCGTTTAGTAGAAACTCATCACAAGTGTGGTAATAAAAGCGCCAATGAAAGCGATAAGGTGAATAGAGGAAGGATCAACCGCTAGCAGAGTCGAATAAAATCCATGTTTTGGTATCACTTCCGCCGGCCCCGCTCAGCAAATCCATTCTTTATCTCAGAAGAAGGCGTGCAGGCATCAGCCGGCAAAGCCGGCTAGTAAAACGATATACTGCCGCTTGGTTATCCACTTTTTTCATTTGGTTCCGCATTTTTTTTGTTTTTCATGTTTCGCTTTGTTGTGTCGTGCATGTTTTCATGATTTCCCCGTCACCATTCATTGAATGCACATCTGGGGCCTGACACACTGACCTTGGGGCTATTTTTTCACCAATTTAGCTTATCAATGATCACCATTAGTCGCTGTTTCGATTGTGTTCCTTACAAGTTGCATGTCATACATGGTTGTCGAACGACGAGTTTTATTTTGAATCCTAAGACAAAATTGTAGGCAATGCGAGGCTGAAACAGCCTCTTATTGCCTGGATTTTAGAGCAGAGTCCGCCTTTCAAAATTCCAGATTCCATTCCAGGAAGCCAATTCGTGTGGAGCATCTGGTTGTCAGTTACAGCAGGAGGGGTGGGTCGTAACTGGACTCATTATGGATTGCATTTTCAGCAATGCCACGCCTACTCCGTTTCAGGGATGAGGAGTGTAGTCAGTTGTACATTTTTCTTATCCCGTATTATTCATTTCCATCAGTACATAAGAGTTCCAAAGTAGAAGGGTGGTATCACATTTAAAACATTACCTCGAATTGATACCACCAAACCGGAATTGATACCACAAATGAACCTCGCAACTATAGCGGTAGTCTTCCTTTTTTTCAGCCTATCGCTTCCACTTAAGTAGGTTCGCTTTGCTTAACTCTAAGCTTCCCAGCCGTACACCCACCAACGCCCCCCCCGTGCTTCAACCAGGGTACAACATGGGGATGTGCGAAATAGCGGTTGAGTACGACCCCCACCTCGAAGAGGGTCCAGTTACGACCCCCCCCCCCCTCCTGCTCTAACTGACAACCAGATGCATGTTCACACGAAATGGCTTCCTGAAATGGAATCTGGAATTTTGAAAGGCGGACTCTGCTCTAAAATGCAGGCAATAAGAGGCTGTTTCAGCCTCGCATTGCCTACAATTTTGTCTTAGGATTCAAAATAAAACTCGTCGTTCGACAACCATGTATGACATGCAACTTGTAACAAGGAACACAATCGAAACAGCGACTAATGGTGATCATTGATAAGCTAAATTGGTGAAAAAATAGCCCCAAGGTCAGTGTGTCAGGCCCCAGATGTGCATTCAATGAATGGTGACGGGGAAATCATGAAAACATGCACGACACAACAAAGCGAAACATGAAAAACAAAAAAATGCGGAGCCAAATGAAAAAATGGATAACCAGGCGGCAGTATCGTTCTATACTCGGCTATTATCGATCGCAACGTTGCGACCGCTTTCATTGGAAAAACGTCATTGGAGCGCGGTTGTTGGACCTGCCAACGTCCTGGGGTCTTTTCGGGGGTTATATCTCTTTTAGGTGCGCGGCTTTTGAGGAATGGTTAGCAGCAC